GAGGAGTAGGGACCCTCTATCGCCTCCGCGTAAGAGCGCGGAGTCGGGATGTCTGGTGCATCCGGGTCTCCCTCAGGGGCAAGCAGCATGGACACGAGATGAGGTGAAGCAGCAGCAAAGCACTGGAACTCCTCCTGCCTGTCCTCAAGGACGTCCGTGCCAAGGGCACACTCACCCCCGACGGACGGAGGACAGACAGACTCAGACTCAGCAACAAGACTAGCAGCGTAGTCTAGACGACAGTGAGCAGCAAAGTCGACAAGCTCAGCAACTAAGGCAGACGCAGCAGTGGACTCAAAGGAAGGGTCAGTGACAACAGTAGCCAGGAGACGCGTGACAGTAGGACTGGCAGCACGAAGAGAGTCAGACTCCGGGTCAGACGATGTTCGCCCCAGGAGGGGGAACGTCGTCGACGTAAGTGCCAGTGGACTTCCAGGATGCCATCTCTGCGTCCATGGCTGAATGCCACTGAGAGGAGTACTCACCCGCGATCGCCTCAGTGTAAGAGCGCGGGGTCGGGATGTCTGGAGCATCCGGGTCTCCCTCAGGGGCAAGCATCATGGCCACAAGATGAGGTACAGCAGCAGCAAAGCACTCAAACTCCTCCTGCCTGTCCTCAAGGACGTCCGTGCCAAGAGCACACTCACCCCCGACGGACGGAGGACAGACAGACTCAGACTCAGCAACAAGACTGGCTGCGTAGTCTAGACGACAGTGAGCAGCAAAGTCGACAAGCTCAGCAACTAAGGCAGACGCAGCAGCTGACTCAAAGGAAGGGTCAGTGACAGTGGGAAAGGCGGCGAGATCGGGGAAGAGATAGGGCAGCGAGAGACGGCCTATCGTAGCAGAGGCAGGCGAGGAGTAGCGGGCGACAACCGCATCGTACAGGGCCTTAGCAGTCTTGTGCTGCCCAAAGTGTGCGCGCTCATCTAACGGCAGGTGACTGTGAATGGCTAGGCGAGCGTGGGCTTCACGAGTCTGCCACTGGAAGCGAGCTGTACTGTCAGCAGTGTCAGCAGGTGCTAGAGCGGTACCGGACGCGTGGTCATACAGCGAGACATCATCCTTAGCGGTGATCTGGAGGAACAGGTGGAGATCGTCTAGCCAAGCATCAAACTGGAGCGGACGGCCCTAGGCATCGAACGAGAGAACTGTGGGTGTAGCCATAGTGGCAGCAGTAGCAGTAGTAGTAGCAGTAGAAGCAGTAAGGGCAGTAGCAGAAGCGGCTGTAGTGAGAGGAACAGCTGGAACAGCAGGAACAGGAACAGCAGGTGCTGCAGGTGGGGCGGCGCGGCTCGGTCAGGGCGGCGCGGCTCGGTCAGGGCGGCGCGGCTCGGGCGGCGCGACTCGGGCAGGTAGGGCAGCGCAATGGCGGGCCTAGCACTGTGGGCGGTGGCGCCTAAGGTGCAGCTGCGCACAGGCCGCGACTGGGTTCGTGCTCCAGCGAAGCGCGAGCTGCAGCAGCCTACTCGCGATCGTCACTGCGTGCTGGCTGCGACCTGCGGGCGGGCGGCGGTGGGTCGTGCGCCGTCCTAGGGGCGAGCGGTCAGGCTCAGGCTGCAGTCGCGCGCGGGCGGCGGCCTACGAAAGCAAGGGCGGCGGCCTACGGGGGCGACGCGACTGCCTACGGGCGGGGCTGCGTCGCGCTGGAAAGCCAGCCGGGCGGGTCGACGGGTGGCTAGCGGCCTGCTCGTGGGCGGATCTAGCCGCGCGGGCGGCCTACGGCCGTCGCGCGCGCGATTCGGGCCGCGCGCGGGCTGCTAGCGGGCAAAAACGAGGCCGCGCGCGGGCAAAAAAAAAGGGCCGCGCGCGGTCTTCTAGTGAGCTACGCGACCAGGAAACGAGGCGCGCGAGGGCGCACGGACAGCGAGGCGCACGAGGGCGCTAAAGGAAGAAGGCGCTCGAGGGCGCTAGCGGAAGGGCGGGCCCATAGTACTAGGTGGTCCTAGGTTCCTAACCTAGGCTTCTGATGCCATGTTAGAATGAGAAGAGTTGTTGGGACTAGAAAGAAGGAGAGTACAAGTACAAAACCAAGAATTGTGTACCCCCTAAGGCTAAACCCACTATAGCCTACAGAACTGTAACATATATGATGTTTGACAAGGTGGGCCCGAAAAAAAAGACGGTCCTACGGACCTACTGCTCTGAAACCATGTCAGAAACTACAGGCAGGAATGAATGAACTAGAGGGAAGTTGGGTACAAATATGAAACCCTAAAGGGGCTATACCCCATATTGGCTACCCCGCTACAGCCTACACATATATATTACATATATAATTTGACACAAGAAAGTAACGCAGAGCGATGTGCTTCGTCCTGTGCTCCAGTCTGTGCTCCTGACACAAGGCAATCATGGTCTTGTTGTCTACGTACAGCAGGGCCCGTGCTAGGTTTTGGGGCATTCTGAGGCCCCAGGACAACTTTCCACAATCTGAAAAAATGCCCTAATTTGTCAAGGCAAATTTTCAGAGGCTTCCTGTGGTTTCAGGGCTTCTGCAGAAATTTAACCTGTCCTGTCAGGGCAAAAGTACGAGTGTTCAGGGTTCAGTTTTAACAATTCTAGTGGCACCAGCATGGTCCTACTCTTGTTATTAATCCAGGGTAGAGAACACCACCGGGCTAGACCAGAGAACACCACCACTACTCTAACAGCAACACTGAAAGGGTGCATGCATGGCACACGATGAGACGAGAGTGTTGCCTTGCCCAACCTGTTCCCAATCTGATGGGTTTGGCTGGTGCGTTGAAGGGGATCGGAACTGTCAAAGGAATCATGCGAAGGCTGGAAAAAGACACGGGGAAACAAATCTATGGGGAAACAATACCAGGGGAAAATTTTCCTCGGGAACGGGAACACCCCCCCCTCTCCCACCATCCCCCCCTTTAAAAACGCGTCAGGGCAAGCTTCGACATTCATCCTGATGATTCTGGGAAGAACATCGCGGCCATCCTGAATGTCCAGGGCATTTCATATAACAACATCCTGAGACCACAGGGTTAAAATTGGCACTATTCTGAAATTACAGAGCAAATTCAAAACTGCATCCTGATTTCAGGGTAATCATGATGTTTTGCCCTGATAACGTGGGGCCTGACGTACAGAACTGGAGGAGAACTAGGCCGCTCTCCCAAGTCGGTCAGCAGGTAGGTGAGCCAGCGTAACTCCTGTGCAGCCATGGCCCCTGCGTAGATCTCATCCTCACAACTGGAACTGAGAACAGAAGACGAGCGGGTAGACCGCCAAGAAACAGAACCGGAGCCAAGGCTGAAAGTGTAACCTTGTTACGACCGCTGCGTAGCCAAGTCATCAACCCAAGACGCGTCTGCCTGGCCAGTGAGAACAAATCGACTCCGTCCTCCAAGCACGAGCCCCATGCCCGACGTACTGCACAAGTAGCGTAACACCCTCTTAGAGGCCTCCATGTGCTCTGGTTGGTGTCTCCCGAGCGCAACGTAGCGTGCCAGGATGCTGAGAGGGTAAGCAAGGTCAGATCGAGTGCAGGTCATCAGGTACATGAGGCAGCCCACAAGCTCTAGATACGGGCCACTCGGCTCTACGGACTCGTCCGAAGGTGGAGCTGAGAGCGAGTGACCGGTAGGCACAGGAGTGGACTGTGGCGAGGACCAAGTGAAGCCGAAGCACTGAAAGACCTGCTGCACCATGTGTGACTGAGTCAGGGTGATGGTGCGCCGTGCTCTCTCCCAGATGATCTGCAAGCCAAGATAGATGCGCAGCTCACCAAGGTCTATGCACGTATGTCTCTTCTGCAGCTCCGACTTCACAAGGGCCAGTCCCTCAGTGTCAGCAGTAGCAAAAACCAAGTCGTCGACGTACACGAGAATGTAGAATGGAGGCAGCGAAGTGTCGGTGCGCAGAAACAGCAACGGGTCAGCAGTCGAAGGAGCAAGCCAAAGAGCCGCAAGTGTCGTCCTCAGTGTGTCGTGTCACTCACGAGGCGCCTGGCGGAAACCGTAGACTGGCCACCGGAGGCTCCACTGGGTACCTATAGGAAACGACCCAGTGAAGCCAGGTGGGCGGCACAGCCACATCTCCTCGTGCAGGCATCCCTGTAAGAAAGTTGTGCTGAAGTCAAGAGAGTGAAGCTCATAGTCACGCTGAGCGGCGACGTGCAGCAGAACCCGAAGAGTGGTCATCTTCGCGGTAGAGGAGAAGGTCTGGATGAAGTCAACTCCCTGTCAGTGACTAAAGCCCCGTGCAACGTAACGAGCCTTGAAGACAGGCGGAGAACCCGGCGGCCGCTTCACTATGAAAATCCACATGCCATCGACTATGTTCGCCCCAGGAGGGGGAACTGCGTCGACGTAAGTGTCTGTGGACTTCCATAATGCCATCTCTGCGTCCATGGCTGTCTGCCACTGAGTGGAGTAAGGATCCTTAATGAGCACGGGGTCGGAATGTCTGGAGCATCCGGGTCTCCCTCAGGTGCGAGCAGCATGGACACGAGATGAGGTAGAGTAGCTGCAAGACACTCAAAGTCCTCTTGCCTGTCCTCAAGGACGTCCGTGCCAAGAGTACACTCACCCCCAACGGACGGAGGACAGACAGATTCAGACTCAGCAAAAAGACTAGCGGCATAGTCGAGACGACAAGCAGCAGCAAAGTCAACAAGCTCAGTGACTAAGGCAGTGGACTCAAACGAAGGGTCTGTGACAATAGTGGCTAGGAGACGCATGACTGTAGGGCTGGAAGCACAAACTAAGTCAGACTCAGGGTCGGGACCATCAGGAAGAGAGGATGCAGGAGGAGATGGCAGGGGAACTCGTAGTGGAACAGAGGAAGGACGAAATGTTATACTGTGAGTGCCAGAGACTGGAGGAGGACGCGGACGCGGAGCACGACGACCAGTGCGACCCGCGCAAACAGGCGAGGCAGGGCGAGACGCAGGCTCACGACGCTCTGTAAGAGAGTCCATCTGCTCAGTGTAAGGAGAAGGAGCAGGCAGTGGAGAGGCTGGCTGTAACTGTGACTACGACTGGTCAGGCGGTGGACACAGAAAGGGAGGAGTAAGTAGAAGATGGGAGACCAAGAACCTGGCGAAGCACCGAGCCAGGCGGCGGCAGAGATGACAGCAACGGTGGAGCAAAAAACAGGCGCCGAGGCACAGTGCCCCCAGCACCAGTACGGTCAGCTCGAGCGCCCCCAGCGCCAGCACCTCCAGCGCCACGGCCTCCAGCTCCAGCGCCTCCAGCTTCAGTGACTCTAGCTCCAGCGCCTCGAGCTCCAGCACCTCCAGCACCCCGAGCACCAGCAGCACCACTAGCTCCAGCAGCTCGAGTACCTCCACTACGAGCACCTCTAGGACCAGCAGCTCCAGCACCTCCAGCACCTTCAGCACCGCCAGCACCAGCAGCACCACCAGCTCCGGCAGCTCCAGTACCCCCAGCACCAGCAGCACCACCAGCTCCGGTAGCTCCAGTGCCTCCAGCACAAGCACCTCCAGGACCTGCAGCTCCAGCACCTGCAGTACCTCCAGCAGGAGCACCTCCGGGACCAGCAGCTCGTGCACCTCCAGTACCTCCAGTAGCAGTAGTACCACCAGCTCCGGCAGCTCCAGTGCCTCCAGGATGAGCACCTCCGGGACCAGCAGCTCCAGCACCTCCACCAGCAGCATCACCACCAGTTCCAGCATTTCCAGTACCTCCAGTACGAGCACCTCCAGGACCAGCAGCTCCAGCACCTCTGTGAGGATCTGGTTCAGGAAAGATAAATCTATTGAATGAATCACTTGAGTACAAGGCGAGGCTATATATTGGCTCGACACAAAGGCAGTATCCCGGGTGTTACTAGAAGATTCCGCGAATCGCGAAGTGTCCCGAACGGGTCCTTCCCGAATTCGGTAGAAGGCAATTCGGTGGCAACCGAAAAGCCCAGAATTTGGTGCACTCAACCTAGTTCGGTGCCTATAACTATAATAACTATAGTAGAAGCAACGAACCTAGGAAATCAAGCAAAAGCAAGCAAAGCAAAATAAAACGAAGATAGATAATGCGTAATAAAGCAATATCAAGCAAGTAAAGTCTAGCAAAGCCGTCGTACTCTCACACGTCCCCCCCTCAAAGCTGGGTGGCATGAGAAACACTCTGCTTGACAAGATAATCCTTGAGAGCATGGCGTGCGTTGTGAGGATCTAGGATCAAGCTCAGAAAAGAGAAGTGTAATTGAATGATTCACCTGGGTACAAGACGAGGCTATATATAGGCTCGACACAAGGCCAGTTACCCAGGTGTTACGGGAATGTTCTGAGGGTCGCGAAGCGTCCCGAACAGAACCTTCCCGAACTCAGTACAAAGCAATTCGGTGGCAACCGAAAAGGCTTGAGTTTGGTACACGTAACCTGGTTCGGTGCTATAACCATAATAAAATATAGGAATCAAGCATATCTATGCATGATGAATAAAACCCAAGCTAGTAATAGCATAATAAAGTCTAGGCAAGCTAGCAAAGCCAGCATAAGCCGTCGTACTCTCACATGCGTTGCCCATATCAGCTTCTGCAACCCAACTGTCCTCCGATAGGTCATATCCCTTCCAGCGTATCAGGAACTCGAGCGTGTTGCCACGTCTGCGTCGATGAGCGACCACTCGTTCCACATCGTACTCTGGTTCATCCTGTACAAGAACAGGTGGTGGTGGTGGTAGCTAGCGTCCTTGGAACTGTTGGTTGGGGTCCTTGTAGGGCTTCTGTAGCTGAACATGGAAAGCGTTGTGAAGCTTCCACGTTGTAGGTAAGCGCAAGCGAAATGTTACTGGTGTCACCATCGCCTCAATGCGAAAGGGACCACAGAAGCGAGGCCGGAGCTTGGACGGAAGGTGAGATTAGTCCAAGTTGTGTGTGTCGAGAAGCACCTGATCTCCGACTGCTACTGAGTGATCTCGTCGCTGTCGATCCCCATACTGCTTCTGGGAGTTCTGCATCGTGGTGAGACGTCGCTGAGTCTTCTCCCATAGCTGCTGCATGGTGGTGACGAAGTCATGTGCGGCTTGGACGTGTGCTGGTGTGGTTGGCTGCTGTGGTGTAAGTGGTTCCCGTCCGTAACACAGGAAGAAAGGAGATTTTCTTGTGGCCGCATGTGAAGCGTTATTGTAAGCAAACTCAAGCGTTGGTAACTGTAAATCCCAGTGGCTGATGCCGTCTTTGCAAGATGTGCGCAGTAATTGTTCAACCACCTGATTGAGTCGCTCTGTCTGTCCGTCAGTCTGGGGGTGGTACACTGAAGACATTGCAAGCTTTGTCCCCAACAATCCCATGAGTTCCCTCCAGAACTTACTAGTAAACTTGGGGTCTCTGTCTGAGATGAGTGTAGCGGGGATGTTGTGAATGGTGATGATGCGCTTGAAGAAGAGGCGAGCAGTTGCTTCAGCTGTAGCCGTTGCGTTGGTCGGGATAAAGTGTCCCAAATTAGAGAACTTGTCGATCACCACGAGTATAGCGTCATGCCCTCGTGAGGTCGAAGGTAGCCCAGTGATGAAGTCAAGGCTGACGATTTGCCATGGCTGCTCCGGTACGGGTAGAGGCTGAAATAGCCCTGCTTTTTTCTGCTTGCTGCCTTTTATTCGCTGGCACGTGTCGCATGAGGTGAGGAACTACTTCACGTCTGCTGCCATCCGGGGCCAGTAGTAATACTTCGCTATTCCGACTAACATCTTGTTGCTCCCGAAATGTCCCGCGTATGCCACATTGTGGAACTCCTCCAGTAAGATCTGTCGGAGCGGGGCATAGTTCATTTCCTGATCCCTTTCTTACATCTAGGTCCTTCTCCCACTGTTTCTCTGCTGTAGTAATCTCTGCGTCCACGGAGTACCCATGTTGGAATAGACCCTTGAGTAGAGGGTTCATCCCGTCGAGCTGGATGCCTGCTACATGTCCGGGGCGGCTCAACGCGTCTGCCTTGCTGTGTAGCCCGGGCTTGTAGACGGTGTCGTAATGGAAGTGGGTCTCCAAGAAGTCCACCCACCGCACCTGTCGTCATGAGAGCGTCGGCTGCGACTTCAGGAATTTGAGGCTGCAGTGGTCAGTGTAAACTGTAGTCTTGGCTCCCTCTAGGTAACACCTCCACGCCTTGAAGGCTGTGACTATCGCTAAGGCTTCCTTGTCATGGATTGGGTAGTTCAGTTCTGCTCCGCGTAGCTTCTTACTGAGGTAGGTGATGGGTTTCAAACCGCGTCCGTGATCCTGCATCAGTACTGCTCCGACTGCCTGGTCACTAGCGTCTGCTTCCACCACGTAGTCTCTGTCTGGATTCGGTAGGATAAGTACTGGCGCTGTAGTCAGTGCTGTCTGTTTGTTCAGTGTGCGGTAGTCGATGCACATCCGTAAACTATCATCTCGATTTGGAGTGAAGAGAACTGGTGCACCGTAGGGAGAGGTGGATGGGCGGATCTGCTTCTTCATGTCTGTCTGTTCGGTCGGACTTAGTCGGTATGGTGCACGTGAGATGGGTTTCGCACCTGATTCCTCCACGATCTCGTGCTCATGGGTGCGTGCTCGAGGTACTCCTGCAGGTAGGTCGTCTGGCATGATATCTTTGTACTGCTCCAACACCTCCTTTACTGCTACAGGTAGCTCGGTGTTCGGCTTCTCCTCCTCTGCTGCTGCCATCACCAGTGCTAAGTAACCCGTGTTACTTTCGTTCACCGTCTGTTCGAACCGTGCCAGCGTTGTTTCAGGAACATTCCCTGTCTCCGTCCAGCTTCGCAGCTCCACACGTTTCCCGTTGTTGTAGATGCACGCTGTTGACCTAGTCGATCTCGGGGTTGAACCGCTTCAGGAAATCTCACCCCAATATAAAATCTAATTCGTTGATGTTCCTGATCGGCAACGTCGGCTTCCATCTTAACGCTCCTATCTGCAGCTGCAGTGTTGACTCACCGTGGATGGGAAGCTTAGTACCGTCCACCATCGTTGCTGTAAATTGGGCCTCCTCCGATGATTCTCCAATTTTCTCCAACGTCCCGCGGTCGCACACCGAGTGGGACGCACCACTGTCCACCAGTGCCTGGAGGCGACGCCCGTTGCAGATCACCTCGAGGAGTAGTGGCTGCTACTGCTCCGGGTAGCCGTAGATGGAATCGCTTATAGGATCGTAGGGTACGTCGAATATGTCATCCCTAGGTCCTGCGCTCGAAGATGCAGCTTCAATATCAGTTTTCAACTGAGAAGGGTTAGAAGGATTTATCCGAGGCTGATTCAATTTCTCATAAGCCTGGAACTTTCCCCTAAGCCATTGCAACTGTGTAGGCTTCATCTGTGGGGAACAAGGAGCCTTTAAACAGAGCTGATAGAGAATATTAGCTCCTCGGAACGCTCGACCTTTATTAGCACTCCGGAGTAGGGTCCCCATATTACCTGGTACCGGTTTAATTTTTGACTCTCCCTTAATAAAGGCTTGAAACCCACGAGAAGTAATATTCTTACTTGTCGGAATTTACGGCTGGAGTTTCCGGGTCGGTGCAAGGTCTTGTTTCGCGGATCCTCCTTAAGTCTCGGCGATTTTTCCTGGTGCCGGCTGTTCGTGACGTTTTAAATTCGCGCCATCATATTCTCCTTTTTTCGCCCTCTCCGAAGTTGCCACGTTGTCCGTTCTCTGCTTCGAGGGTGCCGCACTGTTCTTGTCCCTCGGCTCCGCACGCGTTTTCTTCATTTTCCAACACGCCAAGATACGATGTCCTATAGCGCCGCAAAATTCGCACGTCTCATTTTTTGCTAGCCGCTGCTCCACATCGCCCTTGTCATTCTCCATCGGGTCGGCAGTCGTGGGTGGTGTCGGTCGCCCCATGCCACTATTTGGCTTGTTGCGTCATGTTCCGTAGTAGCTACTGTTCAACGCGTCGAATTGTTCGATCAGTGCTGCCCAAAATTGCGCCCACGTCCCTTCGCCTTGGACTAATCTGTTGTTGATCCACTTTAGAGCTGGGCCTTGTAACAGTATTGTTGCGAGCCGTATGCGCATTGCGTCTTTTGTCGGGGTCGTGCATCCAACGGTGTCAAACTTATATGCTATAGTCTGTGTAGGCTGTAGTGGGGTAGCTCATATGGGGTACAACACTTTAGGGTTTCCTACTTGTACTCCTCATGCTGCTCAATGCAATCATTCCTCATTTCTCACATGGTATAGAGCAGGTTCCCTAGTGGGAACGCTTCCTAAGGGCCCACCACTGAATTTTTTTTTTCCTGCCCGGAGCGCACTTCTCTCCTGCCCGAGTCGCGCCCCGTGTGCCCTCCCTCCCGTCGCGTCCCTAGCCCTTAGCGGCCAGTCGCGCCCTCCTCAGGCCCCTAGCGGCCCCTTTCGCGGCCCCTCACGGCCCCTCTCACGGCCCTGTCGTCGCGCCTCTAGGCCCGTCGCGGCCCCTTTGCGGCCCCGTTGCCGCCCCTAGCGGCCCCGTCGCCGCCACTCTAGGCCCCTCGCGGCCCCTTCGCGGCCCCGTCGCCGCCTCTCCAGGCCCCTCGCGGCCCCTTCGCGGCCCCGTCGCCGCCCCTTGCGGCCCCGTCGTCGCCTCCGCTAGGCCCCTTACGGCCCCTCTACGACCCGGTCGCCGCCCCTCGCGGCCCCGTCGCCGCCCCTGGAGGCCCCGTCGCCGCCCTTCGCAGCCACCTCGCCGCCCTTAGCGGCCCCGTCGCCACCCTACCGGC